TATATATATATATATGTATGTGTAAAAGAAACACCGTTCAGAGTGCAGTTAAATAATTAAAAATGCATTACACGTATTCTTTTAAAAATTGGAATTTTTGAACAAAAATTATTAAAAAATAACAATTTTTTTCTATACTGTAATTGTATTTGAAAATAACATGAAAACGGACGGTCTTTTATAATCTGTAACAAAAATTATTTCAATAGAAATATATTTTTTTAAAAATCCTTTAAAATAATTAGAATAATAAAAATAATTGAAAGAAAAAATTTTCATTTAAAACTAAAAGATATATTCTTAAGTATGAATATTGATCTTATTGAACTATTTCACGTATATATATAACATTCATTTTTATGAAGACAGTATAAATTTCCAATTCCAGCAAATAATCTTTTTGCAGGAACTGTGTAACATCTGATAAGTTTTTACCCTTTATAAACATTTATGAAAAGTTTTCAATTTTAATCATTTATTAACTCAAAGATTAATTTCTAATGCATTTAATCTATACTATGACATTGACAAAGACTCGTAAAACAATCACGCAAAACTTATTCAGTATTGCAAATTTGTGTAAATGAATTAATACCTCCGAACCGCTAGATTATCATTCCTAAATTATTGGCGGTAACAGTTCTATCAATGACTTACTATTATTGGCGGCTATTAAAGTGGTAACAATAATCGTTTTTTTATATTGATACTTTATTGTTTGCTTCACGTTGATTTTTCTTAGCATATAAACAAGTCTTCTCTTCGAGAAGAAGAAAATATGCAAACGTTTTCAAGAGGAACAACTATTAAATTAAGAGAACAACTCTTTGTGCGTGACTAGACTAACTGATGCTTACGTCGTCAGACAATAAAAATATACGAAGAATGGGAATTATGATGATTAATTCGCATACGTTTGCATCTTCTTTGCAAACATAGATTTTATAACTTGCAAATCATAGAATCAAAGACATTAAAATTATTTTACCAAGAATATTTTGCGTAACTATGTTTTAAATTTCTGAGTGAAACATTTCCGAATTATTTTTTCTTCAAAGTTTTCTTTTGTTCATTACACGATTCACATTAATTTAACATAATTCCAAAATTATTCAAATCATCTGCAGTTTGTAATAATAAGCGAGGAAAAAAGTTAATGAAATTTTATGTATAATTTTATTTATAATTTATTTATAAATTGAATTACTAATTTTCAAATTGTAAAAAAGCTAGCAAAATTAGAACCAATAAATTCTTATATTTTTTTTAAAGACAGTATACTATAAAATAATACATAGCGATGATATAGCATACACTTGTGTAAAGTTTGGAAAATGAGTCAAATACTTATCGTGAATTCACGTGGTGTGCATCTTTGCTGTGCACAGTTGTGATAAATGACAGCTTGATATTGATATTGGCAGCTGCGCAAAGCAGCTTAAATCGTGTCGGTCTGTTTATTAATGAAACATCTAAAAAATCGATCTGTAGAGAAATTAAGTAAACTGCACTTCTCTTATGGAAAAATCTATTGGATTTATAAAAAAGCGATTGAAAGTAATTGGAAAACCATTCGTATCTAATATTATATACTATTCGTTCTAGTAGTTTTTCCGCTAATCTAATACAGTTTTTTTTACGCAAAAGTTATCATGCTTGTTCACTGCATTAACCAGAAGACAAACTACAAACTACAAAGAAGAATGAAAAAACTTCATTAATAATTTAAAAGCTTGAATAACAATATTACTTCATGTGATTTTCATATTGTTTATTATTAAAAATTTTTTATACTTAAGAGATATAATGTATGCATTCACAACATAATATATTGTTATTACCGAGAATTATTTTATTCAAATAATAACATAATAATCACGTTCTATATTTTATTTTTCACATACATTATGAAAAAAGACGAGAAATAACTTAAAATATTTTAAAACATTGTCAGCGCTAATAGAATTATTTAGAAATATCGGATTAAATATCACAATTTATATATTTAAAAGAGTAAAAATAGAGAGGACATAAATAAATAACGTACTGACAAAAATGTATGAGCAATAAAATAATGAAAGTATTATTTTTATTTGAAAGTATTATTTTTATTTTTATTCTCATAATTATGCGCATTCTCATTTCTAAAATTTGCCCAGTAGTAATCAATGACACGTTTTACGTTGCTATTTTATATTTAGACATATCTATCTTTTCCAAGAAAAATAAGTAAGTAATTTTATAACAC